TGAATGCGATAGTTTTATTAGTTCAAACAAATTACTTCAAGGTACACTACTAGCAACAACAGATATAAGTAATTGTGCTGAAGTTAATTTCGATGGAAAAACGTTTTTCAGTCAAATAAAACATTTAAGTGTGAATGGCGTGAATTTTACACAAGTCCAATTTATTCGACGTTCAAAACATAACTATTCCTTCACATTCACAATGGGTTATGACGATGAAATTAGCAAATCTGAACTTGACAATGCTATGAATACATTGAAACTTTCAGACGAATGAATCCTCTATATTTTTTTGTGTTGTCTTCAATTAGTGTTGTTTAATGAAAATAAATTCACTTTTTTTTGTTTATTGAAAAGGTATACATTGAAAGTTTATTGACGTATATTTGAAATACAGACATGTTTGTTTTAGAACCAGTATAGAGAAAGGACAGAAAATCGAAAAATTATTTCAAATGATACGAGATAAGTATATCAGATTCATTCATAACTACTTCTCAGAGAGATTGATATAAATGGCTAGTTATACAACATAAAAGTGTTGTTCAGTAATATGATAGTCATAGTTTGATGTTCTCAAAGTTGGAGAACTGATGAATATGCTTTATTTTGTTTTAGAAACTCACGGTTAAGTCGTTATTTATCACATTTATAATTTTTCTACTTTCAAGTCATCTCTAATGAAATTAAAAAATTAACAACAAATTATATAAATTCATATAAGACTCCATACTGTCTCTTGGTATTTTTATTGATTAACTTTTTGAATATAAACTTATCAGACAAGAATGTAAATGTTGAAATTCTAACTAATTTATCTCTTAGCTTTTATTCTATATAAACATATAATTCAATTTTTTTTCTTAAATTTTCAAAAAAATAAATATAATAATTCATATGAAACCATTTTCATATACTAAGATTTGAAATAATTCAATAAAATCTAATACGATTGATTAAATCTTAAATAATTTTAATTAGAATTTAATAGTTTCTATATCAATAGTTTATCATTTTACAACCATCTTGAGGGTGTGGGTATAGATTTCTCCTTTTCCCACATCCACACCCTTATATCAAAATATGTCTTTTTCTTCAAATTTCAATCGATTTCTTTCATTGATTTTCTACAATAAAACTTTATTGTTTTTTTTTATTCCTTGATTATTTATTTAGTAAAAAATTTCTTTTCTTTTTTTTTCAAAATCAAAATTTCATTCAGAAAACTATTTCAAATTTTTGAATTCGATGATTAGAAGAATCAGCAACATAAAGATTTCCTGCATCATCAAAAGATAAATTCATAGGCCCATTCAATTGATTTGGTTGATTTCCTTTACCATTTCCACCAACAACAATTTCACCTTCTCCTTTTGCTTCATACCAACGCATTACTCGATCATTTCCATAATCTGCCACATAGACCTGACCCAAATCATCAACAATTACTCCTTGGGGAACAGACAATTGATTAAGATTTCCTCCTTGACCATTTCCTCCAGCTACAACTATCCCTTCTTTTGCATCTTTTCTCCATTTCATTATACGATGATTCTCCCAATCTGTTACATAAACAGATTGATCTTCATCGACAAAGATAAAACGAGGAGAATCAAGCTGGTTGAGTTGATTTCCTTTTCCATTTCCACCAGCCACCACAACTCCTTCCTTGTTATATTCTCCCATTTCCCATCGTCTCACTTCATTCTTTGCAACGTCGGAAGCATAAAGAAATCCATTTTTATCCATTGCCAAACCATTACAGAAAATATTCTGAATGAGAATTTGTTGATTTTGATTCATCCATTGAGTCACTCGGCTGTTAAAAAAATCAGCAATGATGATCGAATGATTTTGTTGATCAACAATCATATCTGTTGGCAGATTTAATTGATTCGTTCGATTTCCTTTGCCATTTCCGCCTGCAATGATTTGTCCTTCCTTTGCGTTATACTTCCATTCAACAATACGATTATTCCACCAATCGGCAATAAAAATATTTTTCTTTTTATCAACAAAGATTCCAAGAGGGCGATCGAATTGATTTAATTGTTGCCCTTGTCCATTTCCACCAGCCATAGTGATGGCATTTTGTTTCCATTTAAGATTTGTTTTATCTAAAACAGATGAAATTTATAGTTTCAAATATCTTGAGAGCGTAGATCAGAATGTTGCATCTATTATCCATCGAGATCCACTCACTTTTCATTGGTGGACAGATACTTTGATCAGTCATTGTAACTGGATAGCAAACAGGAAGATTATTACATTGTGGATGTTGAACACACGTCGTATTAGGTTGAGAACATGAATAGTCTGGTGAATTACACAGTACAAGATGAGAACATGCTAACCACCGAAAACCACAAATGCCTGCATCGTTATTAGCACTTGTTACATGAAAGCATCCACATGCACTGTTTGTTGAACATTCACCATATTGAGGTGTTTTCTCACAGATTTCAGATTTGATTTGAGCTATGAAAGTAATAAACTAATACATATAAACATATTAAATAGAATAGAAATCAAACCTGTTATACTAAAATATAAAATTAACGGATATTAACAAAATGAATGATAAAAATCAATAATTATTTACCTGAGAAAAATGAAAACAATATAACAATATATTTTGATTGTATTCATAGTTAATTTTAAAATGAGAGAATATGATGAAAAAATGTGTGTTTTTATATCTGAGATACAGATAATATCTTCAGTCAATATAATTGAAATATAACAGATGCATTTATTCACATATCGATAATTGTAAATTTGATATCGATTTTATTTCTGCTAATCGTTCTGCTTCTATCCTATAATAAATACAATAAAAATGTAATTGAAAACTGCATAGATCACAATGTAATAAAGTTACGTTTCAACTAGTATTAGTATATTTTCGAAGTGTCAAATATTCGTCAGCAACAGTTATTTTCAACATTAGAAAGAAGTATTCTATTTAAATATAATTTCAGATATAATTTTGACTTGTATTTGATAAAAAAAGAGAATATTTTGAGTATTATTTAGTGGATGTAGTACAAATACTTAGAAGAAAAAGTAATTCTGTATGAAAAGAATTACTTTTAATTCTATGTGACATCAACAATACCTTTATCAAAAATCTCCAACAACTACCTGAAATGGAGGTATGAGTGTTGGTGTGAGTATCATGCTTTTTCTAACTGCATCCAAGCCATACCCACACCCACGTCCACACCCTGAGTCATTATCCACATTTTGATCGTATCAGCAATATTATGGAAATTTCTTACATGAAAGCAATTCGTATTCATCTTGCTTTTCGTTACTTCCTAAATGTCGATAAAATCATTTCTCTTAGTCGTTTTCGTCTTCATTAATTATTGCAAATAAAATACTAATGAGTCAGCCTGGAGAAAACCAACCAAAAGCGTGATAAATTTTTTTTTCATCCTGCTTTTGTACATTTTACATACGTTTTTTGTCATAATTGGTTCTGAGTCATGTAAAGGTAAAACTACGTATAAATACGACCACTGTATCGGAAGTGAGTAATTTCACTTGTGAAAAATATTGAAAGACGTTATTAATCGAATATTCACCAAAGAGAAATGTATTCAGATCAAAGAAATCAACAATGTGAATTAATCGAGCAAATCAAGACATTGTAAGTTTTGTCGTAGTGAAATGTTTTTTTCTAATTATTTCATAATATACATAGGAATGGCAATGAAAATCTTCCAGAAAAATTAAATCATCTCATCAATGGATTTCAGGTAGAAGTTAATTATTGAATTAATCCTTATTTCATCGGTATTTTTCTAGGTATCAGAATCAGAATCAAATAGTGATAGTGATACTGAAGAAAATGAAGTCTGTCTTTTTGTTTGTAATGATTCTGTATGATAAAATATATTATTATAAATTTAGGAAGAGGAATATTGTTTTGTTCGAATGAATTATCGAAATTCAATTTCGGCCGAACAGATTGATGAATTGAAAATAGTACAATATAATGAAATAATCTATAGCGGTTGCTTACAAGATGGAGGTGAGTTTGAGATTATAGATCCATTCTCTCGATAAATTAATTATCAATAATTTCAGATTCATTTATATTTAAATCGAGACGAGATTCAAACGAATCAACATACAAATTATATATTTATTGTAATGATTTACTTGACAATGAGATGGTCTCTTGTTGTGAATACGGTTTGATGCATTATAATCAATACAAATCATTTCAAATTGAACAAATTATGAAATCGAAACCATGTCAGAAGTAAGACGATTGATTGAATGTACTTGAGAAGGATATACTTAATCTTTTTCTTTCTAGATGTCAATCAAAAGATGATGCAGTATGAATGTTCTCTTTATTTTATTTTGATCTTATTTTTTTTATTCATTTAGTTTCCATCATTGAGCGAAGTATCAGAAAGTAAGAATGAAATTATTTTAGAAAAATCGGTTTCTCCCTCTCCAAATTCTCCGGGAAATAATCAAGAATTCTCTCGATCTAAATCATTTGAAAAGGAAAAGATTCTCTTCAATTCTTCTTCGAAAAAAACGAACCGTAAGCAAAAATCTTATTAAAATATTTTTCGAGAAATCAAGTTATTTTGTATAGAGCCTCCACAATTATCACCAATGATATCGTTTAATGATCATTCTGTTCCGTCAACTCCAATATCATCAGAAATGATTAGTTCCAATTTCTTCGCCTTAATGAATCAAAATAGTAACACACAAAGTTTGAAAAAAAATAAACAATTTTTTTTCTAGATTCAATTTTAGGTAATATTCAACAACAATTTCAAAATGAAGATGTTTCTGAACCGAACAATATTTTCGAAACTTTAGCGAATTTATTATACAATGCCATGTGTAAGGAATATTCGATCCTTTCAGAATAAGTACAGAATTTGTTTTTTTCTAGTTCGAGCTGGTGAAAATACAGAAACGTCATCAAAAATAAATCATCGAGAGAAAGGCAATGTTGAATGGGTTAATCTAATATATTTGCATACTTCATCTCCTGATCCATCGATCGTACAAAAAATTCGTCGTTTCATAAATATCGTCATGATTTTCAATGATACCGATGATTGTATTGCATATATAAATAGTTTATCAAATCAAAGGATTGTTTTAATACTTTCCGATGACTTTTGTGATTCACTTCTTCCACGAATTGAAAATATGCTAAATATTTTATCAGTTTATATTTTATCGACAAATTCAGATAAGAATTTAACATTTTCTTCGACTCAAATTCGAGGTGTTTATCCATCGATTGATGATATTTATGAAATGATATCTGATGATGTTAATCCAATTAAATCTGATCTACTACTTTTTCAAAAAGTTTATGCGAATGGAACTACACTTGATAAGACATTTGTCTTTTTTCAATTACTCAGTGATATTCTTATCGATCGTAATGAAACTGAACATGCATTTGAAGAATTAGTTCATTTTGCTCGTCAAGAATACGAAGGAAATGAATACGAATTAGCACAAATTGAAGAATTTGAAAAGAGTTATAAGAATACTCAAGCAATATCATGGTTATCTCGAAAATGTTTCCTATTAAAAGTAAAGAAATTCATTTTTTACTAAAATCGATTTCATAAAATCATTTATTTAGATGTTACACAATGCTATTCTTTTTCGTGAAGTAGATATATTATTTAAACTTCGTCTCTTTATTCAAGATTTAAAAACCAAACTTGAAAATAAAACTATAATGGAACCAATTAGTGTTTACTTAGGAAATACTATTGAACAATCAGAAATCGATCGATTTGAAGCATTAAAATTAAATGAAAATTTAGTAACATTTCATCAACTATTATTTGCTTCAACGGATCAATCACAAGCAATTGCAAGAGCAGAAAAACTTTCACGTTCTAGTGAAGAATATTTGAATCTTCTTATTCGTATTGATTTTCCATCAGCAGCGAAATGTCTTACTCGACTTTCATCCTCGAACAATGATAATGATGGAATCGATATATTTATTAATGCTGGTATTGCGACAAAAATTATTACCATTGAAAAAGATTATCAAGAAAAAGGTTGTATTCTAATTCATTTAGAATTCGTTTCATATGCAGATGAAATAAATATTCAAACAGAAATGCAAGAAGCACGTAAAGAAATTGATAATTCTTCTCCATTATTTCGATTAGCAAGATTATTATTGAAAGCTAATCAACTATCGTTTGCTGAACAATTCTTTGCAAAGCTTGTCGATGAAGATCTTCTTATCAATGATACGAAACGACAGAAGTCCTTATCACTATCTTTAGACTATTTAGCATTGATTCATTATCAAAGAGAAAGTTTCAAACGTGCAAGTGATTTATTTCTTCTCTGTTTAAAAGCTTATCATCGATTCTTGCCAGTACATAGTCTAGATTTACATCAAGCTTATCGTGATCTTGGTGAATCATTTTATCGTCTGGGTGAATATCAATCAGCTATTGATTATTATCAACAAGCACTTGATACTCAACTTCGTTCATATATTCCTAATTTAATTGCTGCAGCTTTCTGTTGTTATAAATTAGGTGTGATCTATTTTAAACAAGAAAATGATCAAAATGCTATTCAAGCTTTGGGTCGTGCCGAGAAAATTCTTAAACAATCCGGTGAAACACATCATACAGAGTTGATTTCAATTTATGTGACTTTAGGTGATAATTATTTTTCCAAAGACAAATATGATGATGCTGTTATTTATTATAAAAAAATCATCGAAGTTTTACAATCTATTCAACCAAATGATCCCAAAGAACTTTATACAGTACATTTTGTTATCGCAAGTATTTATTTGAAAACAGAGAAATATCGCGATGCCATGATTTATTATAAATACTCATACGATTACGCTAGAGAATTTTTACCAGAAAAGCATGATACTTTTGTGTTGCTTCACAATAATATTGGTTATACATGTTATGAAGAAAAACAATATTCAAGTGCATTGAATCATTATTCTCAAGGTCTTTCCTTAGCACCAGAGTGCTTATCCGATGATGATACTTTAATCAGTACGCTTTTATCAAATATAGCATTGGTTTATGCAGATACAGAAAGATTCGATGAAGCTATTGAATCAATGGAAAAATCTATTGAACAACTTCGAAAAACTCTTCCAGATGATGATGAAAAAGTAGTTCATGACCGAACATTACTGGCTGGAATCAAACGAAAGAAAATTCTTTATGAAGTTATTGGCGAACCTTCTGAATATTTTTAACAAGAATTTAATTTACTTTTCAAAATTTTTTGTTAAATTGATTTTTATTTATATTCAAGATAGTCCATCGATTCTTAGTAATTAAGAATTAGAGTCAATGGACCAAATAAAATTTCCATAATTATTACCTACCTTTGAAATGTCAATCTTGAGGGTGTGGATGTGAGCTTTATGCTCATACCCATCGTTACGTTCCGATGTAACGAGATGAAGGTGTATGAATTATAAATAATAATAGGAAGCTTCGATCGTAGTGATCTTTTGCGATTGTGCCGCGATTTGTGGCTAACAGTCAACGGACAAATAAAAACGATCCGTTTCATAATATTTGTGTTACACAAATATAACGGCAATAGACTATAAATTTTCTCTTTTTAAAATTGCAAGCGCTTTCTATGTTGAAGATGGAATAGGTTTTTTCTTTCCACTATATACTAACATATTATGAAAGCGTCCATTATAAAGAATAAACAACAGATTGTAGATAGGAAAGAAATAGATATTCTTTGACTAAGAAAAAATTACCGTTTCTTTTTTGAAAAAGAGAAAATGAATATTTTTTATTTTTAAAGCCAATGAAGAGCGAGTATTTCACTTATTTTACTACTTGCAACGCATTTTCTCTTCTTTAATATACGTAGAGAAGCTATAAGCCATGTAGACGGTTTCATTTGCACAATACGTTCTTGTATATAAAGAGAGAGAAAAGAATGAATAAAAAAAAAAAGTTAGTTTTCTATGGTACCGTTCTGTTACAGAAGTGATATCGTCAAATCATCCGGTTAATTACTTCCGTTAAAATATGCTTTTGTAAATAAATCATCTATATTTCCTTAGTTCCATTTATTCAATATCACTGTGAGTATTAAGATGTATATAAAGAGAAAAAAGAAAACTGTATCGTCTCCTTTCTAGTCGGAAAGAAAGAAAATGAATAGAGCTATTTCAGAAAATCTATACTTCGTAATATTTATTCAAATAATCAAATATTTGATGAGTACTATCATAAATACAAAGGAGAGGATATTTGATACTGTTCGACAATTTAAAGTGTTTCCAGATACATCATATACTTAAAAACAAATTTCTCCCAACTGTTTCATTATCTTATGTTTTAAAGTTTTGTCACTATTCTAAATGATATTGTTTCCAGTCCCTCGTTCAAAATCGAGCGTAAAAACAATATATGAGAAAATTAAAACATTCTTTGACAGATGTGTACTAGGGGTGTTAGTTTATTTTTATCTTTCTTTGAAATAAAGAATTTTTTTTCTACTGAAATCTACTTTTTTTCTTGAGCTCGTTCAAATAAAATTATTATATTATATAGTTAACTACAATATGGAATAACATTTTCCGTATGCTGCGTTTCTTTTGTGATCCTTTTTTTACGAGATGGCATATGAAAATGATGATGATATGAAAAAACACTAGCTAACGTATTCTGTTGATATATAAAGTATTTGTACATGTACTTATTGCACGACACAAAGTATCTTTATTCTTCATCTTTTTATCTTTATCTGTATACTAGCGGAGGTACCCGATGTTGATCGAGAACATTCGCGGCCGAAAACTTCATATGTTAGAAAGCGACAAGAAATCCAGAGAGGGTTATGCTCGAAACTTTTAATCTATCGCCACAACATATCTGAAATAGAATAACTCAAACTGTAGGACACTCTCAATCCACCCGTTTTTATACATATGCCGTTGCAAAATCCATTTTTTTTCTTTCAGATCCCACTACAAAGTCTACCCATCTTTTAACAGTTTCCGGTACAAAACCATCCCTTTTTCTTACAAATCCCCTCCAACTCTATCTCCGCTTCATTTGGGACCTAAAAAGGCTTAGATTTCAGGTTAAAGTTTTATCTATCGCGAACACGCACACATCCACGATAGTTCAACGAATATTGTGTGGGGATGATTATCTCACTTCTGTGTAACACAACCAGACTAGTGCGAAAACGTAGGGATAAATGAATACTCTGAAGGTCGATCAGATAAGTTTAACGAAATTAGATTAAATTTTAACCATCCTTTATCTGGCACCCCCTCTCGAGTTTTCCTGTATATAAGGAAGTGTCATGGACAGTTTGATGATGTTAACTATCACAAAACCACCTGAATGAGATTTCACTCAGATATCCGCTGCTCAGTCCCCATCAGTGTTCCCAACTCCCCTCAGTCTTCTCCTGGATCTATAGAAGTTCTATGGAAAATTTCGTGACGTTACCTATCACAGGACTCTCTGGGTGAAATTTCACCCAAATGGGACCTATGATAGCTAAGTTCACTAGACTTCCCAGGATACTCATCTAGGTTCAGATGAAGGGTGAGGGGAAGTTGACGTGATCAACAGGGTTGTCAGAGGGGTGAGGGACGGGGGCCTGGGTGGCGTTTCACCCAGTTCTGATACAGTACAACTTTTTGATCCCTATGACAAGTAGCGTCTCCAAACTTTCGATGGTGCTTCCGTACGTACAGCAGAAGAATGAGAAGGGGTCGGCGCCACTCGAAGAGGGCTGGGTGAAACGTCACCCAAGTCATGATATACTGCTGCTTTCACCGATATTCGAGAAGATTTTGACAGGTTTGAACGATTTGTAGTGTATCCAGCTACTACCCTATCTATATCTTCTATTTTTTTCTATGCTATCGAGTATACAATATGGACCTTCCTCAACCACCATCGGGTATCTTCGCTAATTCTTTATAAAATAAAAATAAAATGAAGATAAAATAATACACGTAATGCGTATCCTATTCGATTAGAGTGTGATCCTTCTGCACAAGAATGTAGATGTGAAGACGAGAGTGAGTGTGAGTATTTTTTAGGCATACACCCTCACTCATACTCCCTAAGAAGAAGTTTAGAATACTATTAGAAATAAAATGAAGACTTGCGGTTGCTACGTAAACTGATGAGCAACAAGTAGAAGTGTTACTAACAGGACTCGATCGAATTCTTGACTCAAAGCAGGTCGCACATGTGCATGTAGCAGGGCAACATTTCATCCTTCAATGCCCCATTGCCGTTCAGGAAACCATCATCTTGAGGATATAGGTGTGTGAATGAGGACTATTTTATCCCTACATCTATATCTACACCCACACGCAAGATGGTTTGCATGATGAAGAAATAAAACACAGTAAATATATTGTTTTTTCAATTTTTTAGATTATTTTATTATGAATTTCATAGCTGGTCTTCGGACTATCAAAGAATATCTTAGTAGCTTGAATCTTTTCGAAAGTTCAGCTGGTCTAACTAATCCAAATCGTTTGCGTGCTGAAATTATATCAACTCGAATATATATTGTTCTTGCAAATATTGCTGTATTTATACTCCTTTTGTTTACTGCTTTGGAACACACAACACAAAGCATTACTATTCGAAATCCATCTCAAGATACTTTTGAGCGATACTATTCCGAATATTTAACAAGACTTCAATCTGAACCTTCAACAACATTTCAATGTTCATGTAGTCAAGTAGAAATACCATACAAAACATTTATTAATATATCATACAAGTTACATCCTGTATGTTCAAGTGTATTCATCTCCGATTCTTGGGTCAATCTTCTATTTAGTCCTGATATGACGTATTACTATCCGTTCGATTTTCGTTCATCTGGTAATGGTCAATTTCAACTTCTTGCTTCACTCTGTTTATTTGCTAGTCAAACATTAAATAATGCAATTGATGATTTTCTTTCGAATTTTCTCTTGAGTCCACTACTGACTCGTTCATCAACATCATTCAAAATCCAAAATGAAGTAAGTGCCGAGTTTTTAAAAACTTCAGCGATCTATACATTTCGTCGTCTCCTAAATCTGATGAGTGATACAACTGAAATAAATAGTTTACAACCAGCAATGCAAACAGCATCGATGGAATTATTGGATTATTATTCCAATGGCACAATGAATGCATATCCATATCAAACGATTTGGCCTGGTGATTATAATGGAGAATGTTTTTGTGGTATTACTAATGACTGTTATGCACAAGCGAGCTTTTTTGACGATGCATATGCCTATGAAACACAAGGAGCATTTTATCCACCAGATTCTTCTGGTAATGTAACCGGATTTCTAATTGGATGCTATGCTTTTGATGCACTTCTTAATTCATCACTTACTTGTTTCTTCGATTCTATATGTCTAAGTAATATCTTAACATATTTTCCAACAATTAATATTACTGGTGATGATATTCTTAATATTAATCAGACAAAATTTGAACCCAATACAACCATCGAAATGCTTGCTAATAATTTATTTATTGAAGATTGGTCAATAGAATCTTCATTTGGTTTCTATTATTCTAAATGTGCTCCAATTCTTTGTATCTATAAATATGCAGAACGTAACAGCTTTCTGCAAGTTTTAACAACTTTATTGGGTGTTTATGGTGGACTTACAGTTGCGTTACGTATGTGTATTCCACATGCTGTTCGTTTCTGGCGTAATCGTAAAATTCCGAATCGAATTCAACCTAATAGAGGTAATTTTTTCTTGTTAAGCCAGATGAATTAAAATGTTCTGTTTTCAGTTACTATATTACAGCGTCTCCGAAATGCACAGAATACGGTGAAGAATAAAATAATTGAATTGAATCTATTCAAAACAGCTGCAGCGCGTACTAATCCTTATGAACTAAAGACTACAAGAATTATGACTTATGTCTATCTGATTACAATGCTACTTGCTCTAAGTATTGTAACCATTTATTTATTGGCATCAATTCAAGTCCGCACTGAAACTATACAAAATCCATCTCAAATGATTTTTGAAAATTTAAATGAGAAATATATGAGTACACTTCAATGTCCATGTAATTCCATTGCAAATTCTTATGATATATTTACTTCAATATCACCTACGTTTCATCCTATATGTTCAAGTCTATTTATATCTAATGAATGGATTGTTTCTTTATCTGATATGAATATAATAGATGCAGCATATGATCCAACAGATTTTCGAGTAGCTGGTCCATTCTTTTTCAACGCTATGAAAACATTATGTTCTCTTTCAAACGCAACTACTCATGATGCTTGGTATGAATTTAGTCAATCGCTATTGGTTACTGATTTAGTAGTATCGGATTCAGAATTTAAGAATAGAATACAGGCGGTATTTGAACAATTTCAAGAAACCACATTATATGAATTTAAACGTATTCTCTCACTTGTTGATTTACACACAAGAACTCTGTATAATACGGGATTTGAGAATGTTGACCTTTATACAGATCAGTTAGCTACTAGTACATCACAAATTGATTTTGGTTGGGAGCCAGTAGTAACAGAAACATGTTCATGTACTTTTAATGGTCAATGCACTGATGTAATGAGTTTCTTTTACTATACTAATGGTCTTACTACTGACGCACCATACTATCTAAACTTTACAATATCTGATCTACAAATTGGTTGTTACGTATTGCCGAGTGCTCTTAATTCTTCACTTTCATGTTTCTTTAATCAAACATGTTTAGATATGATTCAAAATGAGCTAGAATCTGCTCGATCTATTGATATAAAGATTCTTGATATAAATAGTACTCATTTTCCACCTCATACTCGTATCCAAATAATACTTGATAATCTTATGATTGAAAAATGGAATGAAAATATTAGTTATGAAAAATATTATGAGGTATGTGCACCAGAACAATGTACATATACATATACTTCTCGAAATAATCCTGTTCAAACAATTACTACACTCATCGGACTGTTTGGTGGCTTATCAGTTGCACTGAAAATTATTGTCTCAATGATCGTTCGTCGGATACGAAATCGAATGCGTCCACATGAAGAAACAAATATCGTAGCAGGTAAGATATATAGAAATAGATTATTAATTATCATGTACGAATAATAACACAAATTAAATCCTTTTTGATAAGATAAATTTTTGCTTTATGTTTAATATAAATATTCGTTATGACTAACTGACTATTTCAGTCTTTTCTCGTCCCCTATGCTTTAGCATTCAAAGAAGTAATTACTCAAATGACGTATTTATTTTAGATCAACCTGCAACAGTTCGTAACGCTACAAATATTTGGCGTATATTAAAAACTAAGTTATTAAAACTTAACTTATTTGAAAGTGAATTATCATGGGATGACGATCAACGGCGACAAAGAGAAATTATTATTACACGGGTTTATTTATTATTCCTCATGGCTGCTGTTGCCATTCTAGTCATATATACTTTCATTGAGACACAAACTAAAATAGTTACAATCCCTAAACCATCTCAAAATGAATTTGATCAACTTCGATTAAATCCTCAGTATTCGACAACACTTGATTGTCCGTGTAAAAGTATTACTGTTCCTTATAACTCATTTATTTCAATTAAACCATATTATCATCAATTATGTTCAAGTGATTTTGTTGTAAACAATTCTATTTGGATTTCTTTACTTTATTCGTTTACAGCTGGTATTGACTATTCATATGATGATTATCGTCTCTTTGCTTCGTCACATTTTCAATTACTTTCAGGACTTTGTTCACTTGCTAATGATACAGTGAATGCAGCAATAACTGAATTTTCACGAAATACAATAATTAATGAAATAGTACAATCTGAAGAATCTATTAAAGCACAAACTGATATTATTCTTTCTCAATTTCTTTTATCAACTCCTCGAACATTTACATTAAATCTTGATTTTATTCGATATATAAATCAAGGGAATGGTATTGTTTCATCAATTTTTTCTAATTGGCATTTTGTTTCACTGGATACGGGAGCTGAATATGATGCTCTGTGGGCTGTCCCACACTCTTATAATGATAATAGTTGCATTTGTGGTGCAAGTTCAACCTGTATCTCAAAAGCTTCATTTAATGGAATAACTATTCCTGGTTTGCATGTGGGATGTTATCCACTTGAATCACTTCTTCAATCAACACTTGAATGTCTCTATAATATAACATGTATTAATCAACTTAAGTCTATGTATACACGTTCAAATATAACATTTAATCCATTAAATGATACTTTGTCGACTCGTAATGCTACAGTTCAATCTATAGTCAATAATCTTCTGGTTGAAAGATGGCAAACTGAAGTAGTTTATGGAAATTATTATGCAGCATGTGATCCTCTTTGGTGCACATATACATTTGATGGGCAAATAAGTCCAATCTATACAATAACGACTATTATTGGTCTTTATGGTGGTTTGACTGTCGTATTTAAACTCATGGTTCCTATTATAGTTCGAATCGGATATTATATAATTAGATATCGTCATCGACGTGTCACTCCGGTTGTGACTATAATGACAATTAATAAGCCGATCATACTTTAACGTATGCATCTTCATATTAGACATGAAGAAAACTAGTCATGATCAAAAGTCATGAGTGGGGACTGAACAATCACCGATTGACAATAATTCAGCTATATATTCTAAAGACAAAATATAACTTTCGATAACTAACGAAAGTCACTACTGCGGATTTTGTGTTTGCAGATGTAAGTGTCAGTATACTTACATTCACACTCATCCTCAACGTGCCTTTCACTTTTTGATGGTATTACGTATTGAAATACGATCACTATCTTCATTTTAACTATTTATAAGAAGTTCTAGTGGCACGTGATTGACTATGTGTTCCATCATATAGTGTTTGTTTTGCTTTAGGTACACGCTGAAATCAATAAAATAAATCGGATATATAAACAAAACTCAAGAGGGAAAAAGCGAGACTTCATCTACTTCCGTACTTTCTTTGTACTCCCTTACATATCTTGTCAAAAGGATACAATGGAAGTACAATGGGAGTACGATGGAAGTACAAAGGGAGTATAATATGGAATTACAATAGGTCACTGTACTTCCTTGTACTCCCATCATACTTCCTTGTACTCCCCTGCACTCTCATCGTACTTCAAAAAGTTTTGAAGTAGATGAAGTCTCGCTTTTTCCCCCTTGGAAAAATCTCACTTAAACAATTTTAATTATATTTGTATGTTTATTTACTTGATTTATATTTATAATTAAAAATAATGTAATCTTAACGTTGATTTGATATTTTTTTTGATGAAATCTTTATATTATATATTATTGTATTATTATAAATCTATTTATTAATTTAGATATTTACAATTAAAAATTTTTTAAGAATGTGGAAGTGGTGTAACACTTAATAGAGGATAAACCCATCGGTGTACCTGTGAGAGCAGTGGTGCCTAACATGGTGTTAGGTGTAGATATTATTGTCAATGTAGAGTATAAAAATAAATGATAGATAGAGGAAAATATTGTAGATTAAAAATGAACTAATAATGTCATCATTCTAAAAAAACACAGTCGACGAGAAAATGTATAAACCATGCGGAAAGAGAAGTGATGCTTATCCATTAGTGTTTAAATATCACATTTCATGATTTTTTGATAAAAAAATTTATTTTGAGATCATATACTAATCTACCACTGGCGGGTTTTTACCCACCAATTATCGTACGAGGATTATATAAAAATCATCCACATTCACAGCTTCTTTAAAATCGTACGCACTGAATATCTTTGATAGGGATAAGGTATACGTCGATATAGTACAGTTGGTAAGAGCATTGTCTGTGATAGACAAGGCTCTGCTTTTGATTCCCAGTATCAATATCCATATTTGTTCATGTTATCAATTGAACTAAATGAGTGTCGCAGAAGATCTTACTCCGGTAAGAATATCAGGAGTATTACACAATTTCGAAAACATTAATCATGGGTGGGAGCTCAGTTTAATGTTGACACGTAAAATTATCAGTGAGAGAATTATTATATGATCTTTTTATATTTTTTAATAGCAATAGAACAGTGTATGAGTGAAAAAGAATCTTTATTTTATCAAAAAAATCAACGAACTTTCAATAGATTCGATGAGGGTGCTTCATTTGTGACAAGTGTTTCTTCAAAGCTACATTGACATGCGACCCTAATATTTTGGATTTTGTATGTACACACTATGGCCTTTCCAATGAAATATAAAAGATCAAAAGCTAAAATATAGTTCCGGACGGTCTATATGTTGGTTAGACGAGCTTCTGGTAAAGTCTCTCTTAAATATTTTACTTCGCATCCGATTAAAAATAGAAGAAAAATAATAAAAGGAAGAAAACTTCTGAAGAGCTAAAAAAAATTATTTTGCCTCGCATCTCATTAAATATTAATTTTTGTCTATTATTCATTTAGAGTGAGATAAATATAAACGTTGTTTTTTTTCTTATTCCTTTTATTAGACACATAAATATTCACAAACAAGAATCAAACAATTTATCATCTGATATCATTTATTGTAAAACTCTTCTTTTATTCATTTGATTTACATTGAAAACTTTTTTAATATATTGAATAATGTCATTTGAGAATAGTTCAGACAATGATGGTGAGTCGTTCAGTTTTCCGGAAGTATCTGTTCCACGTCCAGTTCGTTTTTGGTTGATGCTTTTATGCGATATTCCATCAATAGTTTGTAGCTTCTGTCTTATTATTCATATTATAATGAATCGAACTCAACGACATGCATTACATAATCATACCATTCTTCTCCTACTAATCTTTTATTTGCCAATTCAATTAATAGATATTACTTTTTATCTTATATTCTTTTCGTATGACTCTATTCAACCATCACAACCATTAGTATGTCTTCTTTGGTGGTTTGTTGATTATTGTTTCTATGTTGGTGGAATCGTTCTCATGGCTTGGTTAGCAATCGAACGACATATTCTCATATTTTATGATCGATTGCTTTTAAATCGAAGAGGACGTTTCCTTTTTCACTATCTTCCTTTGATTATTATAGTCACATATATCCTTCTCTTCTATCTGATTGTCATTTTTCTTTTACCTTGTGAGAATAACTACCTTTATACAGTTCTCGTATGTGGTAGCTCACCATGCTATGAGTCTTATGGTATTCTTGGTATGTGGGAATTTATTCTACATGCAGCTACACCAGTTCTGTTAGAAGGTATTGCTAGTATTGCTCTTCTTTTACGTGTTCAAATACAAAGACGACGACTTCGTCAATCTAATCAATGGCGTAAGCAGCGGCGAATGATTATTCAATTACTTTTGGTCACAACCTTAAATATTGGTATTAATTTTTCAAATTGTGCACTATTTTGTGCACAATTTTTTGGTTTATCGCTGGAATATGGAGTAGAAGCTCAGCTTTATTTCTCTTTTCTTGATTACTTCGTTATTTTTCTCTTTCCATTTATATCTTTAAGTCAATTTCCAGATTTACGAAAAACAATAAAAAAAAAATTATTGGGCGTAGTGCGACGACAACCACATCATACAGCCACTGTTACACATACAAGAAGAGACATACCAATGAATAGAATGGCATAATCTAATACAATACATAACATATTTTTATTTATATATATTCCAGCAAAATTAATTATCGTATTTAACAGTTCTGTTTATTTCATAATTTATTTTTGTGTGGTCTTCTCTATATTGTAACCCTCTTCCCCTACATATTTTCTCTTAAATATTGTGCTTTAACGTGCTTGAATATAATCATGTTCAGTGCATTTTTATATAGTTACTAATCTTTGTCAATAAACTAAATATGTCTAAAAACTACATTCTCCTAGAAAAAGGAATATAAAGAATAAAAGGCTCTTGTTCAGATGACTTATCATATCGTTGAGAGACACAAACTAAGAGAATCTCGCTTCAACAAACAAGTTTTTTTATCCAAAAATCATGAAACGTGATATCTAAACACTAATGGATAAGCATCACTTCTCTTTCCGCATGGTTGATACATTTTCCCACCGGCTGTGTTTTTAAGAATGATGACATTATTAATTTATTTTTAATCTACAGTATTTTCCTCTTTGTCATTTATTTTTACACCTAACACTATGTCAGCTACTATTACTTTCACAGGCATTAAACTAAAATATTCTTTTCAAATTCATCATGATATTAATTATGAAAAGAATAGAAATCTTAATAATCAATTCACCAGTTTTTATGATTAAAATAACAAAAAAAACGTTTTATTTTTTATTAATAAACTAGTAATTTAATATTGATTAATTAATTTTTTTAAATTATTTTATTTTAAGAGAAAAATTTCAATTAATATTCATATATCTTATCATTGAATCAGAGCTGAGTAACTCAACTCGACTAAATTGCTGAGTTGAAATAAATCGAATTGGATACTTTTTTGAGTTGAGTTGGCCAACTCTGTACTGAATTATGTAAAGTTAATTTCAAATAAATCTATTATTATCGATTGATTTTTCATAAAAATTTAATATTATTCAACAAAATTTAAATATTTTTAGATTATATTTAGCTCTAATATATTATAGAAAATACAGTAACATTCACATCAATTTATCGAACGTAGACTAGTGTATTGCATCATTGAATAAACAATGACTGATAAAATATGATGTATCATTAATTCTTGTGGATGTATGTATACTGTTTGATTGATTTAGAATATGATACTTGACATGAGTTGTTTTATTCAACGAATCCAGAATGATTGAGGGTGCGGGTTAACAAATGAAACATCCACTCCCTGTTTATTTTTCAAGCGAACATAAATCTTCTATTCAAGAGTACAGTTTTCACTTCTAATAAAATCGCATTTGCCCATAATAATGGTTCATGAATCTCGTTTATTGATAGGAAACTAGGGGTGTGAATGTCATGTTAATCTCTTACAGCCAGCCATATACACGCCTGCGTGCTTTAGATAGATATGTGTTTCATTCAAATAATTTTTTAGAGAAAGTATTAACATACTATGAATTTATTTGATAGATAATTATTATGTGAGTCAAAAAAGAAACAACAAAATATCGAAATAAGAATTTCGATAATTTCATGTAAACCTGGAATAATGATGCACTTTTTCTTCAATTACGAAAACATAACTAAACCTATTAGATAATTTTGTTCTTGTTTTAATGAAGAATTGCAGATGATAATGATCTTAAAAGTTTTGTATTTATGAGTTTGAGTCTCCGAAGAGACGGTACAATGAGGATTCAAGGTAGGATATCCATTCACTATCACTCTCATACTATCAGGTTGAGCTGTAAAAAGGCACTTAAGTATGTCTCACATCTCCGGTTCTTGAGTATGTGACACTACTATAAACGAACAACACTTTCATAATAAAATAAGCTTCTATCTGAAATAGAAATAGTCTTCTGTATTCCTTGTTTATAGTGTCAGAAATGACATAATCTTAGAGTAATGAGAATAGATTGGAAACACATGCATTTTCATAATCGAGAAGATGAAAATGGAATGCTGATGTTTTGAGGATTAAACATCACATACATTTCATGACATATTTCTATATTATTTTATACTTGATAGATTGACATATCTGAGATTAACTAGATGGTACTCGTATTTCACTCGACTACAAAATGCAATGCGAAGCTCAACATCGCAACCACGATTTTAAAGTGTACACGAATTTCTTAGTATTCACGACTATAATAGAAACGAATGATATTAGTTTGACCTTCATATACATAGATCTTGTATTTAAATAAATATTTTCTAAGATTCCATTGCTGAGACATCGTGACCCAAAATGATAATTTTGAATGTCTCAGTCGAGAAAGAAAAAAAGAAAGGAAAGTCGCGAAGGACGATTTCAATACTTTTACTCCGCATCGTATTAAAAATAGAAAAAAAGTAATAAAAGGAAGAAAACTCCTGGAGGATTACGTAAATATTTTGCTTTTCATTGTATTAAATATTAATCTTTATCTATCGTTAATTCAAAGTGAGATAAATATAAACGTTGTTTTTTTCTTATTCATTTTATTAGACACATAAATATCCACAAACAAGAATCAAACAATTTATCATCTGATATCATTTATAGTAAAACTCTTCTTTTATTCATTTGATTTACATTGAAAATTTTTTTATATATTGAATAATGTCTCTTGGAAACAGTTCAGACACTAACAGTGAGTCGTTCAGTTTTCCCGAAGTATCTATTCCACGTCCAGTTCGTTTTTGGTTGATGCTTTTATGCGATATTCCATCAGTAATTTGTAGCTTCTTCCTTATCATTCATATTATAATGAATCGAACCCATCGACATGCATTACATAATCATACAATTCTTCTGCTATTAATCTTTTATTTGCCAATTCAATTAATAGATATTAATATTTATCTTGTATTCTTTTCGTATGGCTCTGTTCAACCATCACAACCATTTGTATGTCTTCTTTGGTGGTTCGTTGATAATGGTTGTTATGTTCTTGGACTCGTTCTGATGGCTTGGTTAGCAATCGAACGACATATTTTCATATTTCACGATCGATGGGTTTCAAATCGAAGAGGACGTTTTCTTTTTCACTATCTTCCTTTGATTATTCTAGTCACATATATCCTTCTCTTCTATCTGATTGTTGTTTTTATTTTACCTTGTGAAAATAACTACCTTTATACAGTTCCCATATGTGGTGGCTCACCATGCTATGAGTCTTATGGTATTCTCGGTATGTGGGAATTTATTCTACATACAACTACACCAATTCTCTTAGAAGGTATTGCTAGTATTGCTCTTGTTTTACGTGTTCAAATACAAAAACGACGACTACGTCAATCTAACCAATGGCGTAAGCAACGGCGAATGATTATTCAATTACTTTTGATTTCAAGCTTAAATATTGGTATTAATATTCCATGCAGTATGTTACTTATTGCACATTTATGCGGCGTACCGCAGGATTATGGAGCAGAAGCTATACTTTATTTCTATTTTCTTGAGTACTTCGTTATTTTTCTCTTTCCATTCATATCTTTAAGTCAATTTCCAGATTTACGTAAGACAATGAAAGAGAAAATAATGGGCGTAGTACGAAGACGATTACATCATACAGCCATTGTTACACATACAAGAAGAGATATACCAATGAATAGAGTGGCATGATCTAATACAATACATAATATATTTTTATTTATATATATTCGAGCAAAATTAATTATTGTATTTAACAATTCTGTTTATTTCATCATTTACTTTTGTGTGGTCTTCTTTATATTGTGATTTCCCTCCTCCCTTACATATTTTCTCTTAAGTATTGTGCTTTAACTTGTTTGAATATAATCATGTTCAACGCATTTTTATGTAGTTATTAATTTTTTTCAATAAACTAAATATGTCTAACAGCTACATTCTCCTAGAAAAAGAATAAAAGGATTAAAGCAAATGTTGTAGTAATGCACTGTAATTAGGAGATATAAATAGATGTTAATATTGAAAAGTTATATTTGTCATTATTACAACATAGTCTATTGTTTTCTACAGTTCACAAAATGAACAGAAACCAAACAATGAATGTTCATGAAGTCCTAACTACAGTTCTAGAAAATACTCAGAATTCTTTAAATTTGAACCACACGAAATAGTTCAGAATACCAGAATAGGTGTGTGATTTAATTGTAACATACCTACACTCATAATACAAAACTGCATTCAATTCAATAATTAATTATTACTAAGTATAAAGTTCTTGAAATATTAAAACTGAGAAGCTTTTGTCTAAAGTTAGTCTGACATCATAAAGTTATTATAGATTAAGACAGAGTAAGATTTTATTTATTTATTCAACAACCCATTTTTTTTTCTTTCTAATCTTTTCAAGGATATTTTTCGAATCTAAAATATCTTCCTTTTAAAATTAATTTCATTTTTGATTAAAGTATTGTTTTTTTATAAAGGAATAAATTTATCCTATTTCTAATATTTAAGGATGTGGATGTTGTGTTCTTTTCTTACCTACACTCACATCCATAACCTCAACTTTCCAAATGAATCACAGTTTTATGTCTGTATATTGGATACACTATTTTTGCTTTTAAAGACATATAAACATGTTTCATTGACGTTCTATGATGTGATAATATCATGGAAGATTTTTAACGTGCACTATGGATACTTACAGCAGATAATACTGCTGCAATCTTGTTTAACTTCTTAGTTGAGGGTAGGTGTGGCTATTCTATTTCATCTGCATTCACATTCTCAAGATAGTTTACATCGATTATGTTTATAAAAACAGTATTCAATAAATGCTCGTCATCTTAATGACAGTTTCTCTATAGAATCTGATTATTCAAAATAATTTTATATCAAAGAAAAATAATATCCTTGTTTATTTTCGCCAAAAGTAAATCGGTTTAGTCAAATATTTTGTCAGTTTCATTGAATATCGACTACGAATACTATTTGTTTTCATTAAAGCCTTCATTTTGTAAACAGTAGTTGAGTCTGCTTCTACTTATTTGAGACAAAATGAATTTAAATAATGATTATTTTTCGATAATAAAAATATTAAAATTGGTATAAAATTTTCGTTAACTTTATCAATCGGGAGATATCGTAATCGAGGACATAATTGTATAATAAATTCCAGTTCTTTCAATGTTTCCACTGATTCGATAGTCAGATTTTTAATAATATTTGTATTTGAAATCCATTGAAAATGTTCACTTTGTGCAATCATTTTTAAATTTATGTTACAGAGTGATCTATCAAAGTATTGATGTATGAATATTTGAGGGGGTGGATGTGAGTATATAATGGGAACACAGCCAACCATAGTCATATTCTAACTTACACTTATACTCACCCACACCCACCCTTAAGAATTAAAAAAAATATGGAACGCTTCACGATTATGCGTGTCATCCTTGCACAGGGGCCATGCTAATCTTCTCTGTATCGTTCCACTTTTCTTAGGTGCCCGTGGGCGATATATAATCGCTTTCAAAGTCTTATATATTGAATCAACACACAGAGAAATAAAACGGTGAATGAATGTGAAATGAAAAAAGAAACTTACGCAATCATCAACGCATGCTTTCTCTCTTTTAGTAAACATCAAATTGAAGAATAATATTAGAAATAAAGAGATGCTTCTAGACACTAAATACTCAAGTAAATATTTTTCAATATTATGTTATCTAAACTATTTTAATTTATGATAAATATAATAAAAATAAAGAGAACTATGGCACATTCAATTTATAAGTCTACCATTGATTTACAGAACGATGTCATTATGACATCATACTCCTTTCTTTCTCTAAAGTATATAAAAAATGTCTATTATCATTTTATTGATATACTCCTATTGTGCAATTATACATCATATTCTTTTTTTTAATAGTGGCTAAATGCAAACTGTTAATTTCAGAAACTGCATCTTGATGGTGTGGGTGTCAGGGAGAGAAAATACGTAATGAATTCACACCCACACCCAGATCTACCCACTACAACAAGAACTGTATTTTTAATAACTCTTAATAGAATCGTGATAAAGACCTGGAAGTCTGGTTGTAGATGTGGATTCATCTCTTCTTTACCACACGCACTCGCATCCTCCAGTAAAACAAAACACGTTTCTAGCAATCTCAGTTTTCTGTGATACTTTTTGTTAGATTTATTGTCAAATATTTGAACAAATATATAAACCATATAATATTATTTCAATATATCTGTGAGAGCTGATTTTCAAAAAGTATCGATATAAAACGATTCGATAGTCACATATGTAATCATCTTAAGAGTCTTTTTGATTGAAAAAAGTAGAATCGTCAAAAAAATCTAGAGACATACAAATGCTGAAGAATATATAAAAACATTTAGAAAAACACAAAAATAATCATCACATATATTTTGCAGTTTTATATGTTTGTCTTTGAGCTGTCATTGTTACACACAACGTGTTATTTACCAATATTATTGTTGAGATAACAATAATTCTGATCACGTTCATAAAACAACATGTCAGACGTTTTTTATATAACTGCCGATGGTTTGGCAGTTTTTATTGTTAATTTATTAGAATCTACTAGCTTATTTTATCTAGATTGATTATATCTAATATTTAAACATGGGTTGTCGCCAAAGTATTTTATCTTCGCCTAATCCAACTCCTGCTTCTTTATCATCTCTTTCATCGGCAGATTCAATCGAACTCGAAGGAATTTTAGTTGAAATACCTAGCCATTGTAGACAACCATTGATTAATCTACCAGTGCAACAATTTCTCAATGTTTATCAACATCATTTGGTGGGAAAGTATTATTTTGGACAAAACAAGTTTCTGCTTGCCATTGCACATGAATTTCAAGCAATGAGCCAACTGGGAGATATGATGCCCAATCATAAAGATCATTTTATCTTTGTTGACATTTGCAATATAGTATCAAGTTGTTTTCTAGAGCTTCATGTTGTTGAAGGAGCTGTTCTAACCAGTCAATGGGCTTTGAATATTACGGAAAAATATACACCAACAAATTATAAAACAATCAGTTATCAATATTCTCGATTGGGTATTGCTTATCAAGCAAAGCAAGCATGGAAAGAAGCTAGATATTATTTAACAAAAGCTATCGATACAACACGTCTGACCAATGAAATAGATGAAGAATATATTCGTAAACTTGAAGCTGATTTTGATCTAATAAAGTAAATTGATATATTTATTTAAATATGGTACGTTTTTTTAATCTCGTTTCTCTATTGTAGAAATCGAATCATTGACAATACGCAAGTATCTATGACAGTTCATGAAATTAAGCCTGATCCTGGTGAAAATATGGAAGATTTTTGTCGTCGAGCAATAACTGAAATGATTGCTTGCAATGCAGAACATAGTACACTTGCTTTTTTTAAAAGTGAATTTGAACGATTGCCTAACAAGCAAACAGAATCAGAAGTTAACGATGAAATACTTAATGAAGTGTCACAAAACTTAGAGAATTGTGTACGTGTTAGTGCATTGGATACTGAAGAAGTCAATTTTATTGCGGCTCAATTTAAAAATATGTGTATGAAAGCAAGTCCATTATTACCAGCAATTATTGAAGCGGCATTAACAACGATTATTGATCGAATAAAAGATGAAAACTTAGATGCAGATAATGAACAGTTTACTTCATTAAAACAATCAGCATTCATATTCTCATATACTGATGAAAGTGAAAACTATAAAAAAGGTGTACGAGTATTTGAAATAAGAAAAAAAATAGAATCAACTGATGAACAGTAAACAACTACACATAACTCATGCTTTTTATATTATTTAATAAAGTTTTACTGTCAGAATTAATTTAAAAAAAACGAGTGTCGAATTGATCGATGACTGTGGTCTGTGAGGACCGAAAGTAATGCTTCTGTCTCATAACTTTAGAGTTGTGTTAGTCATCGATCATGGCTCGTCTCTTTTTATTTCTTATCGAACTCATATTTTAGTTGTATATGTTTATAGATGGTGTAATTTTTTTCTTTCCTTCGTTACATTACAACATACAGTATTGATATGATGAAATTACAAAGATATAAAGAACGAAGAATTCTAACCATCGTATGGTTGTAGACGAGTAGCAGATATCAATGAAACAGATATTTATATAAGTAATTTTATTGAATAGTGATTAAAAAGAACATCACACTTCTTTATTATATGACTTTAGATAATGTTTAAAAATTAAAAATGAACAATGAAACAGAGTATTCATGTCTATTGAGATATACAATAGTATTATGTGCACAATCGAAGGAACATATTTTAATAAAAGCAATCACTTCAATACAATTAAACTACGTAATCCATCCTTCAAAAATGGATTTTATTTTTTCATGACTTTGGTAAATTAACCAATGGACATTTAAATACAAAATCTGCTGAAAATAATTTAGCAGCTCTTGGTAACATTATTCTATAAACTTGTCGAATTGTATTTTCTGATGCACCAGTTGCAGTTGCTATATCTTTCAATGGCTGTCGGTCATTAACAGCAGCACAAGCCATATAAATGGCTGCACCTGCAACTGAATCTGGTGCACGACTTTGTATATCACAAAGTTCTTTTGCTTGTTCAACAATATAGATAGCTGTTTTTCTAATAAGATTTACTTCCTCAAGTTGAAGCCGACTACAAAAACGAGGTATCAAATTTTTAATATCAACAGTTTCAGGTCGATTAACATTTGGTAACTTTTTAATAATTTGTTGAAAACATCGACCAATTTCTACTTTTGTTGCATTTGTTGCAATTGCACAAATTTCTTTAATTGTACGTTGTAGACCTTCATGTCGACAACCTAAATAAATACATGCTGCAGCAACTGCATCTGGTGATCGACCTCGTACACATTTATTTTCATAACATTGTTTATAAATTAAACATGCTCGATCAATAATTCGAGTTGATAAAGAAATACGTCCCGCCATCTGTCGAATAGCATCAAAACCAGTTTTTAATGCTTTATCTTCAGATGACACTTGACTAGATTTATTAGTATATTTCTGTTTACCAGATTCATCAAGTGCTCCGGCACCTGTTCCTGACGTCATAAACGTATGAAAATGATCGGTACTGAACAATGGATTTGATGCAGCACCGACACGACTCATATCTTTCGTATCACTATCATTAGAAAAAGTACGCCATTCAGCGCTAACATCGATCATTCGATCTCCAACGACTAATCCACATTCTGGACAAATCATATCGCCAGCACGATAATCTTCAATTAATGTCGCTTCAGGATGAAATCGACATACTAATTGTTTAACGTACCGTGACATATTTGCGTATGAATACGTATATTATAAAATATATTGTATAGTAAGTTGTAATAAAGCACTTTTCTCTAGTGCGCATAGGGCATGACATCATGTTTGGCTTTACACGTTTTATTTCTTTTCTTTCCTTACATCGATACGATATGTGCAAAGACAAACCATCTTGTTGTATTTCATAATGTTTTAAAAAAAGTTACTTATTACAACTACTAAAAGAGGTAAAGATTTTAACTGATTAAATATATGTTGCGATGACGAAAAAATGCAGGTTAGTGTTAATACTAACTTGCCAGAGCAACATTTTATTAAAATAAAATAGAAAGATGTCGCAGTTTGATAACAGTTGTCCTCCATATGTAATATCGTGCAATAATCGTCATCATGGTAATCATTGGACGCATATGAATCAACTTTGTCTATGACTCATGGGAATTTTTTTCTTCATTCTTACGAAATTTCCACCATGTACGAGTCATATTAGATGATGTCGTAATTGAAAAAAATATGAAATGTGTAGAAACAGTGTGAAAATAAATCAATTGAATTTCACTATTTTTCTATCGCTTCTCGGTCTTTTATAGGCTTAGATCAAAGTGTAGTATCTGTTCTCGTCGGTTTGAAAGCCGGCGCTGATCTTATTGAGATCAGGCTCTTTCAAGCGGATTTTTGGAATGGACATTTGATCATGCGAGTTTACTCGGATGATTGATGTACTAGTGATCGTCTCGACACTGCAGTGCCGTTGAGTTCGGTCCACACCTGTGTCTCTCGGGACACAGGAACCACATTATAATTTGAAAATGAAAATGAATTATAGTAGAATAGAAACAATAAAGATTTACAAAACGACAATCTTAAAAAAACAGATAATTTAATATAAAAGAAGATGTACATGTTTGAGATCTTATTACTTTACGCATTCAAGAAAAACAAAAACTATTCAACATTTAGCACGACAGAATCATAGTCAGGTGGCGGGTCACTATCCTTAAATTCCGATTGTTCATAATTCGGAACGTCAGAAGTAGTTAAAGAATTAAATATTTGTTGCTGATGTGGATCAGGATTAGGTTCGGTTCCTAATATAATTGGTATATCAACATGAAAATCACAAAATATCCCTTCAACTATAACTTCAAATTTAATTAGATAATGAATATGAACATTGACAATTGCTTGAAGACCACCATTAAATTTATATGATGGAGGTAATATATTAGGAGGAATTATTATAGAAAACGGTTCTCGAATTTGTTCATTTTTTAGATTAACAATTTCTGGTAATATTGTTTCAAATATCTTCAATCTTTGTGAATTTAATTCAATTTCATAATTTTGAAATAAAGTTACATAAATACATTTAATTAATACTTTACGTGGATTTTCAATTTCTAATGTTCCAGTAATGGATTCTCCAGGAATTATTCCTGATTTATTTAAAATTCCTTTTAAAATAACACCTTTTTTATTTTTATTATCAAATGTAGTTGAAATTAAACATTGAGGATTTTGTAATAGATTAACATGAGGAAATATATTTAAATATGGTGTTTCTTTTGTATTTGATCTATACGATATTTTATCTATAATAACTTGTAAATAATATCGAACACGTGGATATGATCGATGATCATTGATAGTCGGTGGCAGATCTTCAGTCAAAAGAATTTGAAATGGCCATGAATATTTTCCTTGATCATAAACTAATTGTTGTTGTTCATTTGCAGATTGAGCAATGGTAAATTCAGAAGAATAAAAAGGAATATGGTGATATTGTGTTTGTATATTTGTATGACCTCTACCGTCTGAACCAGTACGACTTGTTGTATAACCAATTTCACCTATTAATTTTATACATATTTCACTTGCTGCTAATTCTCCATCCACGATATTTAATTGCACATTTCCATTCACATATTCACCAGTATAATAGAATGAATTGTTTCGATCAAGATTAATTATAATTATAATTTTATTACTAGAACCACAACCCATATAAAAATGATTTTATCTTCAGTTATATTTTAGAATGTTAAACCATGTGATGTTTTCGTTGTTCTGCCATTGTATGATATAATCGTGTAAAAAGGAACTCAGTTCCACATGCAATGAAGAGATAGAACGAAAGAGAAAAATTTCCTTCTCGCGACTAGAGTATCCTTGAAGAATAAAAATAACTCGCTATCAGCGGACGAACGCACAAGCGAGCGGTTATATTTTTTTCTTATTTCTACTGATCAAATGACATCTATAACTAGAGAAAGAAAAGAAAATTCTTTCCAGAATTATACTTTAAATTTTCAAATAATCTATGGATATAAATCTTAAAGAGAAAATATAGAAATATTCTATTAAATCATAATAATATCATTATCATTTCATTTATTTTATATACAGTACTAAAAACACGATCATGCATGTAAATTCCAGACAAAAAAAATATTGTAGATAAATCTCTATGATCATAATTATTAGTAATGTACATTAATTCGACTTCGAATATAAATGAAAACGGAAAGAAAATCACATGCTTTCTATCAAAGCAAAAGATAAAAAATTTTCAAACTAATAACTCAAAATTATTACTAGAGTGTTATTATGAGAATAGGGGAAAGAGTTGATTAAAAAATTTGAAACGATGAATCTTATTTTCGTTTATGGCGGCTTATGTGAGACTAGCAAAACAAGTGCAGAATTCATTTATCTGCTCAATTACAATTACAAGTCGAGTCTGGACGTGAGTGTTAGTCTTCTGCTTCATCCACACTCACACCGATGAACTAACTTTATGTCTATGACTCATGGGAAATTTTTTCTTCATCCTTACGAAATTTTCATCATACATGAGTCATATTAGATGATGTCGTAATTTACAAAAATATGAATAATATCATTCATATTTTACATAATCAATTACAGAATAATAAGACGTCGTCCTAGAAGTGCTTGATATAATAATTGAAAGTTTGTCAATGTGTAGAAACAGTGTGAAGATAAATCAATTGAATTTCACTGTTTTTTTTATCGCTTCTCGGTCTTTTATAGGCTTAGATCAAAGTGTAGTATCTGTTCTCGTCGGTTTGAAAGCCGGCGCTGATCTCAATGAGATCAGGCTCTTTCAATCGGATTTTTGGAATGGACATTTGATCATCCGAGTTTACTTGGATGATTGATGTACTAGTGATCGTCTCGACACTGCAGTGCCGTTGAGTTCGGTCCACACCGGTGTCTCTCGGGACACAGGAACCACATTATAATTTAAGAATTAAAAGTTTGCTCGGTCTCCAAATAGGAATAGAAATTCTTTAAAGTTAGAAAAAGAACGTTGAGATCTATCAAAGATTTATAAAAATGGATATTTTGTTTGAGTCATCAAATAAAACTATGAATAATGCTTTATTGCTTTGTTTGTCGTTATTTGTGAAGAGATCAATCGACAATGTTGTTTTATAAACCAAGATTTCATTCAAACCGTATTTCACAAAAAAATTTAGTAAGTCTTAGATAAGAGTAACGATGTGATGAAATACAGATAACCTACTGGCAATATAGATTGAATTTTGATCTAAAAAATTGGAATATATTATGATTCTCTATAATAAATTGTTGACATTTTATTAGTATTACAATTATCAAAATGGAAATCAGTTCTTTTAGAGAGAATAAATTTAATAAATATATATTCTTCATATGAAAGTCTTTTTATCTATAGGTATGTACTTTTATCTTCAGTTACTAGAGAAAATAAATATGCTTTTATCAACAGATAAAAGACATTTGTCTCAAGCATTATACTTTCATTTCTTTATATATAGCATGAGTAAAACATTGTTGTTAATATTTCTTCTCTTTTTTTATACACCTTATGAATGTCGAAGTCAACAGGATATTCAATCTGATACATGGATTGCTGTTGATGGTCTTGGTCGAGTGTTACCAAATATAACACAAGTTGGTCCCCCACGTCCTAATCGTACAGTTGGAATGTTTTATTTCTTACATTTGGGTCATGATGGATCGGTAAATGGTCCCTATGATGTATCGAAAATTCTCAAAGAACATCCTGAAGCAATTAATGATATAAATGATCCACACTGGGGACCCCTTGATAGTTCACATATTTGGGGTGAAAGTCTTTTTGGTTATTATATGATTGATGATGATTTTATTCTTCGTAAACATGCATCTATGATTGTAAATGCAGGCGTTGACGTCATTATTTTTGATGTTTCTAATGCAGTAACTTTTCGAGATAATTATCAAAAATTATGTTCTGTATATACTGATATTCGATCAAAAGGAGGTAGAACGCCGCAAATTGCTTTCCTCTGTCCATTCGGCAATCCAGGTGATATGGGACGAAAGACGACACGTGCAATATATGAAGATTTGTATGCTAATGGATCTTATTCTGATCTTTGGTTTCGATGGAAAGGTAAACCACTGATGTTAGCTGATCCAGGATATGTTGACGATGATATTCGACAATTTTTTACTTTACGTCAAAATATTGGACCTTACAATCAAGGTCCAACTGGACCAAATCAATGGGCATGGCTTGAAATTTATCCTCAGCATGTATTTTTGAATAGTGAAGGTGATAAAGAAGAAGCTGCAGTTGGTGTTGCACAGAATTATAATAAAATACAGTATAATAGTACTGCACCGATGAGTTGGCCTGGTGCTTTTGGTCGTAGCTATCATAATAACTCAATGGATAATCGAACGGATGCAGTTAATTGGGGATTTAATTTTGCTGAACAATGGGAACGTGCATTAGAAATTGATCCTCAATTTGTCTTTGTTACTGGATGGAATGAATGGACAGCAGGTAGATATGCTTCATGGAGTAGATGGACAGCTCCACCAGTTATTTTTGTTGATGAATTCATTCAAGAATTTAGTCGAGATATTGAACCGATGAGTGGTGGTCATGATGATAATTATTATTATCAATTAGTAAATTATGTTCGACGTTACAAAGGAGTTCGTTCAATAACACCTGTAAAAGCAAGTCCAATTATAATTGATGGTAATTTTCAAGAATGGCAACCTGTACAACCAAGTTTTCAAACAGATCCTGGAACGCCTGTATGGCGAGATTATCCTGGAAGTGGAAAAGCAGGTCCCTATATCAATCATACTGGTCGAAATGATATTATCGAAACTAAAGTTAGTTACAATGGAGATTATGTTTATTTCTATGTACGAACTTATAATTTAACTACAAACTATACAGATCCTAATTGGATGTTATTATTTTTAAATACTGATGCTAATTATAGTACTGGATGGCTTGGTTATGATTTTGTAATTAATCGAAATGTTCGATCATCTCAAGAAACATCTCTTGAACGTAATAATGCTAGTAATTCTTATATTTGGACAAAAATAGCCGATATATCTTACGCTATGAAAGGTAAAGAACTTGAATTAATGATACCACGAAAATTGTTAGCTATTCCAGCATCATATGTTACTATTGACTTCAAATGGGCAGACAATATTCAACAAGATGGTACATGGAGTGACTTTTCATTAAATGGTGATTCCGCTCCTCCTGATCGTTTTAACTTTCGTGCACAACTTAATTAATATTTGGCACAATTGTAGTTATTACACGCATTATCTTTTTCTTATATTCGTCAAACTAATTTTAAGTTCAATTATGAAATTATGCGTGAGCGTGAATGAATATTCTAGTAACACTTCTTACTGTATACAATGATTTTTTTCGATTCATTTTACCGTAGAAAATATATTTCGATAATTTCATCACATTCATCAAAAAGATGCAAAATATACGTTGTATGTCATTTTAATTTTAGTTAGTAACTCTTGTTTTTTTAATTGTATTTTTTTTATATGTGAACAAAAGAATGTATGAAAATACAAGAGTAAACAATAACTCAGGAATGTAATTCAAATGAAACAAAAAATTCATTATTTTTTTTGTATTATAATAACATCATGATCTTTGCGCTATATTCTGATTGACATAGTTTATGGCTTCAACCAAATTTATTTATATATTAATCAGTTTTTTTTCTTAAACAAAACTAGAGAAGAAATAGAAGTTATATTCATTGTATTGAATCTCTTGTGCAAGTCACTCGATATGGATATATATCAATCTACAAAAGTATCTTTTGTGCCAAGAATAAGTACAACTCGATGGTCAAACCAAGTAATTTTTCTTGAAAATTTAAGTTAAAATCATGTTTTATTATCTCTGCCAGGGTTTGTTAATGAATAATCAACAACAGAAACAACAAAATAACAATGAGCAAAATCTATCTTTCAATAGACCGGAACAGTTACTTGATAATCTTCAATCATTGTCACTGAGAAATTATTCTAAGTATCAACAACAGAAATATCGAAATAGTAATGAACAAAACTCATCACTCAATAAATTTCAACGGTTTCGTGATAATCTCCAATCATTACCACGGGAAAATGATTCTAAGTATCAAAACAACAGCAATGAACAAAATCCATCATTTAATAAATCGCAAACGCTTCCTAATAACGTTCTAACATTACCATTAGATAATCATGCTAAGTATCAACAAAATCACAATGACCAGAGTTCATCATTCAATAAATCGCAACTGTTTCCTGATGATGTTCCATCATCGCCACTAGAAAATTATTCTAAGTTAGTGCAAATTTTTAAAAACTGTCATGTAGCAGAGCAAGAACTAAGAGGAGCATTAAAGTATGAAAATAAAAAATTGAATGCATCTCTATCTCTCGCCTTTTAAAGATCATGATCTATCATCTTATCATTATTACAGAACGTAACAGATACAGGTTCTAAGATGAGATTCATTACTTATACTTATTAAAACAAAGCCTATTAGTTTCTAGTGAATTAAATAAATATAAGAAACATATCAATATGAGCTCAAGCATCTATTAAGATATGAATATTCAGAGAATTTATTTATCTGTCAGTAGCAATTATTTCGTGTTTCATATATTACAGCAACTCCGATGAACTCGAAACCATCAACAAGACAAGCTACTATCCGATGGCCTTTTATATTTGTGTTGGAGTTTCACTTTTCCTTATTGCTACAACAGCTTTGGTAATAAATATTTATGAATTGATCCTTATAAGTAAAACAAGTACGAGTAAGAATATCTTAATATTTTTTTCAAGATTACAGTTGTTTCGAAGAAATTTTAATCTGTATATGATAGGTAAAGATGACATGGAGTGGAACTTTATATTTCAGGCCAATACATTGTCTTGCATTCATCGATATATAAATATCTGGTTCATTAGTATTCGTGTTTAACTAAGAATGATTGTAAAACATGAGGATTATATTATTGAGAGAAACGACAAGGTAGTCTTTACACAATTGAGTAGAATTATTTAATAAATTAAGTCCATTATTTTATTAATTTTAAAAATGAAATCGATATGTATCGATTTAGCTAGTTACGAGAGAACCGTTCTAAATGATAAATTACTTTTGATTGCGAGCTTTATACATAAGATAGATCCCAGTGCGATATAAAACCTCGCAAGAACAAATGCTGTTAGGTTTTCTATCCGGAGTTATAGATATTTTAGTGTAATTTTACTCTTAGGCATGGCATATATCAAAAATTGATATCATAGTATTTCGAACTGAAGTTTTATCTATGGACCGGCTTGTTGGTCCATAGAATGTTTTCTATTATTTTTGGTATAAACCATGTCTAAGACTAAAATCATAGCAAAATATCTATCACTTCGGACAGTCAACTTAAGAATACTTGTTTTTATAAGATTTCATACATAGAGTCCACAATCAAAAGCAAATTTTCACGTGAAACCTTCTCCTTGGCAACTCAACTTTTTTAATGATTAAATTTCATTTTTAGCTACAAGTACAACGACTGCAATGCCAGGTAATGTTCCATCTTCTCTTATTGAAAATGATTATTTTCAGAATTTGACTCCTTAATATTAATGCTTAATGAAACATATCAGAGAGTCATTAGTTTTGGAAATGTATTAGATTGAGGAGTATAACAAGAGTGAGAAATAGTTATGGTATACATAGAACCTATGGAAATAATCGAACATTCGGTCATATTTCTATGCAAATCCTCCAGAATGTGGCTAGCTCTCTTTTAAAGAAGAGTACTATTTGTTTTATTCAAATTATTTTATTGTTAGGATGGGTTGGTACTGGTGATATGACGAATGTACGACGTGACCATCAAGCATCTGTATTAGCAAATGGGAAAGTGTTAGTTACAGGTGGATTTACCGGTAGTGTTTATTTAAATGGTGCTGAGCTGTACGATCCATCTACAGGAGTATGGACAACTACTGGTAATATGAATAGTATTCGAGGTTATCACCAGGCATCTGTATTAGCAAATGGAAAAGTGTTAGTTACAGGTGGATATACTGGTAGTAGTTATTTGAAAACTGCTGAATTATATGATCCATCTACAGGAATATGGACACTCACTGGTAATATGAATAGTATGCGAGCTTATCACCAAGCATCTGTATTACAAAATGGAAGCGTATTAGTTAGTGGTGGATGCAGTAACACTAGCGTTTATATAAATAGTGCTGAGTTGTATAATCCAACTACAGGAGTTTGGACAAGTACTGGTAATATGAATAGTCTTCGAGGTTATCACCAGGCATCTGTATTACAAAATGGCAAAGTGTTAGTTACAGATGGATTTACCGGTAGTGTTTATTTGAATACTGCTGAATTATATGATCCAACAACAGGAGTTTGGACAAGTACTGGTAGTATGAATAGTATGCGAATTTTTCATCAAGCATCTGTATTACAAAATGGCAAAGTGTTAGTTACAGGTGGATATAGTGGTAGTGGTTATTTAAACAATGCCGAATTATATGATCCGTCTACGAGTACATGGACACTCACTGGTAGTATGAATAGTATGCGAGCTTATCATCAATCATCTATATTACAAAATGGACAAGTGTTAGTTAGTGGTGGATGCAGTAGCAACGGTGTTTTTTTAAACAGTGCTGAGTTGTATAATCCAACTACAGGAGTGTGGACAACGACATTTAGTATGAATTCTAGTCGATCTGAGGATACAGGATCCTTACTAACAAATGGAAAAGTATTAGTTGTTGGCGGACTTGGTGCTAGTGGATTTTTAAATAGCGTTGAATTATATCAACCATAAAAAGTAAATTAAAGACAAACAGCTTTTTTCTTTTTTTTTCAATAAATAATCTCAATGAATTACTATGAACGAAAATAAGAATCAAAAGGGGTGTGAGTATGGGCAAGGTAAAGGAAAATGAATTCAGACCTGTCTACACCTACACCCACATCATCAAAATATAGAAAGAACGAAGAAAAAATCGCATTGAGTTCTGTTGCATAGATTCAACGAAGTGTTTATCAGTACACATAATATACAAAACTATCCGTTTATTTCTAGCATCATTCTCAATCAAACTCATTTTCCTACTGGAGACCTGTGAAGATTGCTTTATATCCTTTTACTATTATAACATATTAACTCGATACATTTCTCAACAATCAATATTTGTTAACAAGCCGTAATTGGATACAACTAAGAATATCTTAATGTTTTCGAGTATGACAAATTCATAGAATGCTATAGTTGTTCAATCTTTTTATCTCTCATCCTATTCACTGATCATTTGCATTAGACTTAAGATTTACGATTAACTTGATTAATTCTTATATGTATGAAATACAATACTTATCTGTTTCTACAGCATTCTTCTACTTTTATAAATGTAATCAATCTTCTCATGACTAAGAAAGTAACACATGTATCATCATAATCTATGAAGAAAAATAACCAAAAATGAATCATGAACATCATTCTTGAGCTGGAGTGTTGCTAAACAGATGATAACACATGAAAAGATCATCTTTAGCTTTCACAATATGTTCATTGAATTCACTTTTACGCATCTTTGCATCATCGAAACATTCAATCATTGGCAACTGATACATGAAATTAGGATTGTTCTTATTGTTATTGTATTCATATGTTATATATTTTTCTCACTGCTCTCTCTTACGTTGCATTGTATTATGATATTCATGTAATTTGATGATATTACAGTGTGCATGTGTACTAGAACGTGAGAATCAATATTTTTCACTAAAAATATTTACTTTGTTTTTTTTGATTAGCAATGTTTTCATTAAAAAAGCGTATCAAATGACTTTTACCCTTTTAGAGTTGTGGTCACAGAATCAAAGTGCAATTAAATTTAGATGTTTTCTATACTATCAAACAAATTGAAGGAAAGACATTGATAATAAGTGTGAATTTCATATTTTTGTTGTATTGCATGAATAGTAACAAATTGTTACTTATGTCTCCGCATGTATTTTTTTATCACATATGCATCTAAAGTATTGTCATGTGAGAACAGTAGTGAATTGTTTTGTTGACTGAAAACAATATTGTTCGTTACTCTACCTCTATATATATAGATACACCTTTTCTCATAGTTTCACAAATCAATTCTCATCGTACTCTAATTTTATTCTTCACTACATTATTACTATTAATATGCCAGGCTGTGGATGTGGTTGCGGTTGTGGATGCGGTTGTGGTTGTGGATGTGGTTGCGGTTGTGGATGCGGTTGTGGTTGTGGATGTGGTTGCGGTTGTGGATGCGGTTGTGGTTGTGGATGTGGTTGCGGATGTGGTTCGTGCTGTAAATCATGTTGTAGTACATGCTGTGATCCTTGTTGTTGCTCTTGCTGCGATCCTTGCTGTGATTGTTGTTGTGATCCATGTTGTGATTGCTGCTGTGGTTCATGTTGTTGTGGCCCATGCTGTTGTGTACGTAAAACTGTATGCTGCTGCAGACCATGTTGCAAAGTCATCAGAAAGAAAACCGTCACCGTTAAAAGATCATGCGCCAAAGTTTGCTGTTGTTAACATTAACATTTTTGATCTTTTTCTATGAACTCATTTAATATCTAATGTACAAATGTTAGACAACATTCTAACAACATTCGTATTATTTTGTTCTCTCTCCTTCCTGTCATCCATGAGAATACATTGAAATTCTCATCTTCTTTCTTTTTCTTATTTTACTCTCCATTTTCATTTACTTCTTATACAATTAGAAAGAAGATGTGTTACATCATCTTCTTTGTTTTTCTCTGCTTTGACGAGCAAATCATTTATTATAACCAATAAATCTAGTTATAGCACCGATTTTTATTTCTTCACCTTCAATCTTTTACATTAACAATCTTATTTTTTCCTCTCGGATTTAAAAGTTTTTTTTCGATTACTACAAAAGGTGTTTCAAAAAATATGTTAACAACAATAGCTGCAACATAACTGAAGAAAATATGTGAAACCAAATTGTTCACTAGAATGTGTGGTTGATAGTAGAAAGGCACTGTTCGATTGAAGATAATAATATATAGAATTGTAGGATGAACAAGAAAAGCAGCATAATTCAGTCGAGCGAATGGTAACCATATAGGCCACGAGAGAATAGTATTCACTATTCCGCCTTGATTGCTACTGCATAGAAAGATGAGCCAACCAATGGCAAGAGCCCAGCCGGTGCGAGATAAACATTGATAGGTAACTAATGATGCACGGTTTAGTCCAGGTTCGTTGGCATATTCATGATATACTGAGAACAGACATGTTAAACAAATAGCAATAGCCAGAAGAGTACCAATTAGTTTTGAATAAACATTGAAACGATATGTTCTTCCCATAGTAATGAGCAGAAAGCCAGTGAGAAGACCAATAGCATAAGCAGAAATACGACACCATGGAGTAACATATATGGTATTGAAAAAGTTTTTACCAGGCTACAAAAAAAAGAATCTTAAGGTGATATCTCGAATGAGAACTCATTGAAAACACGATTAAATAGTTATATTGCGATTGTTTTAGGTGAAACTATAGTTTTATTGGACCACCTCGTTATATAATGTTCGATATAAATTCGTCTTAGAGTATTTGAAACTTACTGCGAATTGAAATTCATCAAATGAATTAACCGTCATATTGGGATAGTGAAGAAGAATACCAAGAATCGACATAATACCAACGAGAACAAAAATAATAGTCATCATAAAAGCAATCCATTTTCGTCCTTTGACAAATGGTATGAGAGCTAATGGAGCAATCCAATAAAATTGCATGTCATTGAAAAGATACCATGAAATAGTGAAACACATTTGACTCGGTTCGATTAAGTTGCCAATATAGAATATCGATGTCCACCAGTACTGATTGCGACAAGCTTCTGGTTCAAATCCTGTTTGAGTAGGATAAAATGGTCCATGGCCAAAGTATGGTGTCAAATTGATGCTGACTGATAGAAGTAGAAGAAAAGCCGGTGTCAAACGGATATAACGATGGACATAGTAGAGAACCATGAGACGAAAGGAGAGTTTTTCTTTCTTCACTTGTCGAACAAATGCAATAGTCGTTAAAAAACCGCTTATTACAAAAAATGTATCTACTGTGAATGTTGCATTGATGATTAATTGAAAGAAAATATTCTTTGTCCAAGATAAAACATCGACTACATTACTTGTGTAAGCTAGACTGTCTAAAACTGAATGACCGATGATAACCCAGAAAAGAGATAAAACCCGAAGACCATTGATAAATGCAAATGAATTTTCATCTTCTTTCTTTTCCATTGTAAATATTCGACGTAGAGTACGTAGAGCTGAAAAGTTAGCAAGGAATATTCTACGAGGTGTTGATTCTAATAATGGTCGTTGTGTCAAATCTGAATAGTGTGGCGTAGTCATCGATTTCATCTCTAACGTTTCAACATCCGGACGAGAATCATGTCTAACAACATTTTGATCAGATTTTAGACGTACAGTAATTATTAAATCAATGATAGTTCCGATAAGAACAAGAAGACCAAGTAAGGAGAGAATGATACACGTAGCTATGGCACCTCCAGTAAAATTTTTCTGTCCATTTGGAGGATCATTCGAACAGTCAAGGTAATCTTCAGTAATATTACTAAAGGTAAAGAATGATTGAATTAGCAATGCTACTGATTGTCGATCACATGATGAAGGAACACACATGCCAAGAGTTATGCCGTTAAATATCTCCAGAAGATCTGTTGTCGTTGATGATATAGGAAATAAAGTACCTATACAAAAAAAATTATTCATAGTGATTACATTTTGATAGATAATTATACATACAATGCTGAGTGTCGAAGGGTTGTACAACGAATGATTTATTATCGACCAAATACATCGGTTGAACACATTCATCGTAGTTACCCGTCCAAAACACGTTTCCTCTAAGCAAACCTGATGGTAATGGTTTTCCCCATGCATCGATTATTTTAAGTGCCCATGAATCGAATTGTAATGCTCCAGCAATGATCTTTTCAAACTCTTCTTGACACGTTGTAGTTTCATTACTGGTGCGTGAAGACAAATAGGCAGACATTCGAGAAGATGTAATCGAATATGGAAAATCGACGAGTAGCTCAGATTTTAAATGTTGAAAATGTCGAATTCGATTTATTATTGAATTGAATTGAAGAGGAAATGTTTGGTGCTTCGATTGACATATACTGTTATGTAATGAAAGCAAAAGCAGTAACAATATAAAAACGCCCATCTTGAAATAGAATCATATGATGCAGTTATACAACACTTTATATAGAGTTATAATATGCAGATAAGAGCATATATGTCCCTTTGCTGTTGTTATTTTTTTTTAGAGTTATCATTGTTTATCGCCTTCTTTTTCTTGCTTTACATCATATGAATACAACTCTAGAACAATCCATCATCATATGATTTGTTACTTATTCTGGAGTGCAAAGACCGCGCTACTCTTCATTATTTATCTATATTTTTATGAATTCCTGATCTCTTTTTTAACCTTAGAAGAATACTTTGGAACCATACCATTAGTTTGTCCTTCTTTCACACATTTATATGTGTTTACTATTGTGACCGATTATACAGAAAACTCTGAAAATGTATGTTTAGTAGATTTGAAACGTTACAGATATGAGTTTTTCGAGCAAATGTTGAGATCGCCATAGTTTGAAAAGTCACCTTCAATTTTTCATATCAATATATATTAAAATTCATTTGTTATCACTAGTAGTTCTTTACAACAACAAATATTACATCAAAAATATTATGTTTTCAATATGCAAGAATCCAGAATAATAACTGTAAATACCGATTTTCGCATTTCATAGTTTGATAGAAAAAGAAAAAGACCAAAGCATGCATGAAAAGTCAACACAGTTTATATACATTAAGATGGTGATACTGATAAGCGATGAATGCAGATGCGAGTTAAATGCAAGGCAAATGCATGACTGTATGACGCACGAAGGAGCGTAGATAAGACAGTGAGAATGGATGAATATGCAAATAAAAATATGAGGATAGATACAAAGAGTAGAAATATGGTCTCACTGAATAAAAAAATAACTATACATATATTTATGCGTTTAAAATTGGGTATAAATATGAGTGATCTGTACACATGATGACATTCAACATTCGAAGGACTAGTAATTTACTTTTAACACAATGGAATTATATATTGTTTGTATAGAATGTTTGACAACGGTATGTATGTTGGTAAAATGAAATTGAATATTTTTCTTTATCTGATCTCTACCTTGTATTTTAATCGATAATCTTCAAATGCATTACACGCCTATATTGATGTATTGATGGAATTAAGAATGATAAGAATATGTATGATGAAAATAAATACTTTTTTATTGCACTTTTTCCTATTTGATTGCAATATTTTTTTTTGCTGATAGTCAAAGAGAGAGGAGACGTCAATGTGTTTCTTTGTTGTTTTTTTCATCTAATACAAAGAATGCATTGAGGCAACCATTTTCAATTCACATTCATCTGAATAATCGTTGATCTTCAAAATTATCTACGTATGTCCTATGATAAATTATTTATCAGATAGAGAAATAGTTACTCAGTACGAGAATCATCTGTTTATGTTAGATTTTGTTTATGAGATTCGCCGTCACATTCTTGACAAAATGTTTCTATATAATGTTTAATGCAAGCAAAGCAAAATGAAAATAATAGTATGTGTTGACTAGAATATGGATTTAGAATATATGATGAACACCAAATTTATACATTACCATTACGGTGTATTTCAGATTCTAAATTTACAGATTTTCTAGATAAAACTACGTTAATAGTTTTTTATATGACCATGTATTCACTTCACGACGATTACTCTCTTCAATTCGTTATGAATTCAAATCAATCTTTAACTATTAAATTGAATCGTGATCAAACGTTGACACGAATCATTATATTGAATGACGAGCAATGTTCTAAATTGACTTATCGTCTATGTGAAACAACCAACGAGCTATATGAACTGTTAATTGATATACTAGAGACATCAGTCTCAAGCATTCATGTTAAAGAAGATGAAAATCTAGAGATCTCGTTACCAATACGATTTGGTAGTAAAAATCGAATGAAATTATGGTCATTCAGAATTGAATTCTCTTGTTTTTCATCCAACGACAATGATCCCAAGGAAGAAGTATCACTCGATCCATCAGATTGGAATGATACACGATATTTGGGTCATCAAATTATGGATGATATGATGGATTATTTGCGTGATCTTCGTCAAAGACCAACTTGGCGTCCGATTCCTCCAAAAATAAAAGAAATCATTGCAACCAGTGTTCTTCCACTACATGGTCAATCGCCTTGGGAAGTCTACGACGAAATTCGTTCAATTGCACTTCCCTACGTAGTGGGTAATATTCATCCTCATTATTGGGGTTATGTTCAAGGTTCTGGTTCACCAATTGGAGTACTAGCAGAGTTCATTACAGGAACAATGAATACAATGTCTTGGGGTGGTCATCAAGCAAGTATTTACTTAGAATGTCAAGTCTTATCATGGCTTAAAGAATTAATGGGTTTTCCTACAGATGAGACAAGCTCAGGTGTCCTTGTCAGTGGTACGTCTGTCGCTACAATCATCGCTTTGGCAGTAGCTCGAAATAAATTTCATAATCGTACTATGAAGATTTATTGTTCAAACGAAGTACATAGTTGTCTAGCACGTGCTGTCGATCTTTTAGGTATTACTAGAACTAATTTAATAGTTATTCCAACAAATTCACAACGCCAAATTGATGTGGAGGTCTAGCAAATCATATATATATATAGAGAGAGAGAGAAACCCTAAATTTCATTTATATATTTTAGGTTTTGAAAACAAGTATAGATTTAAATTCTTGTGGCTTTATCGTCGGTTCAGCAGGCACAGTTGGTACCGGTGCCATTGATGATTTAGAAGGTTTAGCTGATCTGTGTGCTAGTCATCCAGAGAATCTTTGGTTTCATGTAGATGGTGCTATTGGTGCAGTCGCTCGTTGTTCCACACGTCTTCGACCATTGTTCACTGGCTTGGAACGAGCCGATTCATTGGCATTCGATCTGCATAAATGGCTTTTTGTTCCATATGAATGTGGTTGTATTCTTATACGCGATGGTCAATTACATCGATCGACATTTGCACAGCCACCAGCATCGTATTTAACATTATTAGATGGTGGTATAACACCTAGCCACGGCGAAGTTTATTTTAGTGATTATGGTCTTGAACTTTCACGAAATACAAAAGCAATAAAAGTCTGGATGACATTGAAAACGTACGGAATCGAACGATTCGGTCGTATTATGGAACAAAATGTTGATCAAGCTCTGTATTTTGCTCGTTTAATTGAACAAAATTCGAATGAACTCGAATTAATGGCGAAAACAACATTAAATATTGTTTGCTTTCGATATATCGTCCATCGTTCGAATAGTATCGATCAGCAACCTATGTTGAACGAATTAAATAAACGATTACTCGTATTAATACAAGAACGAGGTATAGCAGTAGTTTCACCATTTGTTGTCGGTACAAATACGTTTGCATTAAGAATGTGTATTACAAATCATCGAACAAAATTATCCAATATGGATACATTTTTGCAACAAGTCATTAAATTAGCTCATGAACTAGTCAATACTCCTGAATTTATAATGCTAAACAAGATTTAATTTTTTTTTAGTACTAACACTTATTATTTATCTAAAATGATTTGTTAGAATTGAATTAAATAAAAATATGGTAGAAAGAAATCAATAATATGATAGAATAATTAATCATACGAAGAGCAAGATAAAGAGTTTCCTTATGGCATGTTCAATAATAGATTAACTATAAGGGATAATATATCTTACATTGAATAGTTAATAAACGACTCCTTTTTTTTTGTTCACTTATCATATTCAAAAATAGCAAACTTAGATAATATGATAATCGCTAATGTATCTATCTTGGAATCAAACTTATTCATTTCTCTTCCAGTTCGATTTTGGCTTTTTTT